ACTTTGGTCTTTTCATAGTTTAAGAGCTTATTACTTCTTGTAATGAATATTCATGTTTAAATGATTGATGTGAGTTATTTAGCTTGTCTTGATGATTCTTACATTAGTCTTATTGCTTTTATTTTCATAGTGACAATGAAGATATTAACTATGAATGGTTTTCAAGGCATGTTAATTTTGAAGCTTGATATTCCATTGCTTAGGTACCTCCTTTGATGGACTATGCTTGATTCTTACTTTCATGTGCTTCATCATTTGATTGAATGCTTGATGGTCTTTTGCTTAAGTTAATGTATTTGATACTACACCCTAGTCTAGGTAGTCCAAATGTGTTGTCTTTTGATAGACCATTCTTGTTTTAATCTCATGAACTCTTTATTGGTTATGAAGCAACTATGTGTTGCTACATAATTCTCGATCATTGCTTATATAGTGTTTATCCCCAATTTAGTCTTGATTTAGCATGTACTTAGGGCGTAGGTGGATTCACTTCTCTAGTTTCCCCTTTTATTATCTCTAACTCTCATTTACTAGCACTACTATTTTATGCATTCTAAGTTCTAAGTTTAAGTGACAAACAACCAAAACCCTCTATAAACCCCTTATCATTCTAAGAACAATTCTAGACACTTAGGTTGCCATAGACTAGCGCAGTCCTAGTGGTTCGACTTACCCGACCAATAGCCCTATTTTACAATGATTCGTGCTATTGCGAAGGTTGATGTTAGTTGATCGACCGATCAAGACGTTAGGTGGAATGAACCACAATGAATAAATCATGCAAAAATTGTAAAACGTAGGTCGATGCATGCTCATTTCCTACGAGTAGCTTTAAGTTGCTCACCCCAAAGTTACTGGGGCATATTTTCAGGTACAGGAATCAAGGTTGAGATTTCCATTATGCTTGGACGGTTTGTGGACTTGAAGATTTCCATTTTAGTGAAGGTTGGCTTGAAATGCCATATGTAACCTTATTTGTCAAATGTGCATATTTGATGCTAAACTTGTAATGTGTGCCTAAGCACACTTTTTGATTCTCATTTTACGTATATGACATGAGGCTAAGGGCCAAACTTCTTTTGGAATTGCATATATATCGTGGATGTTAATTTTTGACTTAATGAGAATATATGGAAAATCATGCATTTTAGTATGCTATTTTGCACCGGAGTGTGCATTGTGTATGAAATTTGTCCATTAGTATTCATTAATCATGTATGAAGTGTGGCCAAGGGCCAAACGGTATTTTGAAACCATCTCATAGTTTTGAGCTCCAAGTTTTCTTTCTAAATTTCATTTTTGTCATTTTCGCCATTGGGGGGTCGTATTTTGTATCAGCCATATTTTTGAGCCATTGACCATTGTAGCATATCTTATTAGGTAAGTTACGTTTACATGCACGGTCGTTTTCGGGCAAAGCTTCTTCTTTGGTGAAATGAGCCTCTTACGGACTCATTTTGCATTTTTGTTGCATAATCTTACCTAAGGGCATTTTGGGGTTTTTTTTGGGAATTAAATTCTGGTCTCCATATGCTCACTTAGAAACTATGATTTTATGGGGGGTTTCTTCTTCGTGTTTTTCCGGAAAATTTCGTCTTGGCATCAGAAATCATTCCTGAAGTTCAGCATCCTGTTTTTTATTTAGCAGCTTTTTCGACCCTCTGGACCAGATTTCTTGGGAGGGCATTTTGGGAATTTTACAGTGTTTATTTTTTGATTTTCCTTGAGAGATACGTAGAAAACTCGATTTTGAGAGGGGTTTCTTCTTTGTGTTTTTCCAGAAAATGTCATCTAGGGCCTCAAAAACCATTTTTTTTTCCCAGAAAAACCCCTGCTGCTAGGGTTTCTTGCTGCCCATTCTGCCTCCTTTACATCTAAACGGTTAGATGGGGTTTCGTAATCGGTTAGATGAGTGTGGGCAATGTTTTGGTCAAGTTTTTTGGCCTTCTAACCGGTTAGGAAGGTGTGGTAACTGGTTAGATGTTCTTGGGTTGGCAATTTTTGAACGTTTTGCCCCTTCTTCTTCCGATAGCCATATCTTCTTCATCCGGACTCCGAATCAAGTGATTCTCATGTCTAAATTCATTAATTTTTTTATTGTCTTTCCAATGGTGTGTTCGGTAGCACCCACTTTTATGTTGGAAATGACCATTTTTCTCCTATGTACATTCTTGTCAGTTTTTGAAACGTTGCTTCCGCATTTGTTTCCTTTGGGTTTCGTGACCTCATTGAGTGTCACATTGGTGTCTTAGAGACGTATTATATCTCTAGAGACCGTTGTCTTATTTTTTACTTTCGTATTTCGAATCCGTTTTCGGGTTATCTTTCGTTTCATCACTGACGCACCGGGTTAAAAAACTTGGGCCGTCACAAAACCTCATCAATAAACTTTTTACCAAAATTGGTAGTCAATGCAACTCTTCCTTTGCCTTGAAATTGCACCCTTTTGTCATTCCCATACGTACCTAAGACTTTATTGATTCATCAAGTTTAACAAAAATAAATTTATCTCCAGTCATATAGTTACTACAACCACTGTCAAGATACAATATATTTTTTACAGTGGCATTGTGGTAAGATATTGATAGATATTCATCATTAGCATTTTCATCTTCAATTTTTTCTTCATCAGCTCTTTCCTCGTGAAAATTGGCTTGATTTTTAGGATTATACCAATAATACTTTTCATTATGTCCATATTTTTCACAAAAGGAACACTGAGGGATATTAAGATTCTTAATTTTATACCAACAGTCCTGTTCAATATGACCCTTCTTCCTACAATGATAAGAAATATGAATTTCACCATTACCTTTATTGAATTGCCTCCCTTTTCCATTGAATTGATTCCCTCTTTTAGCTTGAAATCCGTAGGTTTTCCTTTTTCCATTTGAGCCTCTTTTAAACTCCAATTTTGATTGGAAAGCCTGCTCCACTTGACTTTCTGTAGACGTTTTCAACCTTTCTTCATGCATTTTTAGTGATCCCATCAATTGAGTAAAAGACAACTTGGATAAATCTTTTGACTCCTCAATTGTAGCTACAACACTATTGAATTTAGGAGCTAGACTTCTCAAGACTTTTTCAATGATTTTTTTATCATTTAAATTTTCACCAAAATATTTTGCTTGATTGAGAATAGAAGTAACTCTAATTAGGTAAGCATGAATTGACTCATAACTTTTCATCATCATAGTTTTAAACTCATGACGGAGAGTCTGTAACCTTAAAGTAATTACCTAACTCAATCCTTTGTACTCATTTTGAAGCAACTCCCATGCTTCCTTGGAAGTTTTGGCTCCCATTATTCTTGAAAAAATAGTGTTGTCCAATCCTTGTTGAATACAGGACAAGGCATTGTCATCTGTCTTCTTGTTTTCTTTCAATGATGTTCTTTGTGCAACAGTAACTCTCTCTTCCTGATTATCATTTTTTGCATAACTGTTTTCCCATAAATCAAGAGAAATAATAATTATTTTCATTTTAATACTCCAAAATTGATAATTTTCACCTTTAAAAGTAGGAACAATTGGATGAAAGTTGTTGTTACTTTTTACAGTTATCATTTTTTTACCTAACCTTTTGTCACTTTGTAGCGCAGTTAATCATTGACTACTTTGATACCACTCTATTAGCCTTTTTGGCTATAATAATGAAGCAACGCGTAACAATAGAAAAAAGAAAATATACGTAAAAGGGAAATTACATAGATTATTTTAATTTAGGATAGATATTACCATCATTCAAACTCCAACAACCTAACCCTATCAACTATTTTATTTAAATTCAAAAACCTAAGTGACAAGATAACATTGACGTGATATCACTGAAGTAAAATTTGAATTAACTTCTAACACCTTTGTCTTAAAAGTAAAGTAGAATAATATTAAAATGAAATTTTGTTTTGTTTGGTTTGAACCTTTTGATGGAGAGAGAGATGAAGAGAGCGTGAGAGTTAGAAATGTGATTCATCCAAAAAAAAAAAAAAAAAAAAAAATTGGTTCATTTAAAATTTTGAACAGGTGTTTAAATTTAATTGAGGCACATCAGCGGTGAGGATTAAGTTTGTCCTCCTAAGGGACGATCCAAGTATTGTCCAAAAAAAATTAGAAACCAAGTTTCAAAAGGATAAAATAGGCATATTTTGAAGTTATTGTTATGAATATTTTAATAAAAATTTAATTATTATGATTGTGGAGGGAACCCCTCCAATAAGAATCGTCCACGTCATTTAAATAAAGTATAACCTTATTAGTTCTCCAATAACCCATCAAAGCCCAATTTGATCAAGCCTAAGTAAAGTCAATATCGATCCAAGGATGTTAATGTTAACCTTTCGGCCTACTAAAAAGCCCATCCAGCCCATTGACATTATAATCCAAGTCCATCAGATTAATCAAATCCTACTATACAAAAGATCCTTCAAGGAAGTTCTGTGTGGGATCAATCCTGTGTAGTAAAGAATCTTATATGGAAATAAGCTCTGCATGGGAAAAGTCTTGCGTGGAAAGAATTATAGAAGGAAAAAACCTTTTAGGTAAAGAATTATATATGGAATGAATTGGAGGACAAGCAGAGCGAATCTTACCATAATTCCACCATCTTTTGTATATAAATAGAGGCTTAGACCTCCAATAAAGATCATCGAGCATTACAAGCTTTTCTCTGAATTGTTCTTGTTATTAATTATTCTTTATTTGAGTGAGTTGTATTTATTCTTTTGGCTTTTTAGTTAAACAAATTATTTGCACTTACACTTTGGCACCGTCTGTGGAAAACATATAGAAATATACCCCCACGAGTGATTTGAAATCTTTTATGGTATTACGATCCGGGATGTCAATCGGAGGATCCGCAACCGTAGTTGATCAACAGATGGAACTAATGCAAAAGATGGAAAAGAGTTCTTGCAGTAGTTTGAGACCCTCCGTCAAGCAAACGAGGCCAGTACGGCTCAGATTGAGTTGCTTCAGCAAAAGAACGATGCTCTCTAGAATGCCATGGCACAGATAACACCACCACCACCACCACCAGTCAATGTAGCGGGTGCTCCCCCCAACCACAATGTTCCTCTTGTTGATGAAGCTCAAGTCAATGAGAGTCGGCAGGAGCAGAGGGCGAGAACCGAGGCGGTAGCTTCGGACAACCACCCTCATCGTACACAAAACGAACAGGCCAAATCCAGCCGCAAACTCACAGTATAGACAAATGGTGTTCGAGATGGTGTCCAGGAAGTCTTTGATGAAAAGAAGCTCCTGAGGATTCAGACACCTGCCTAGATGGCCGGGGAGGATAAGGCTTCTCTAGTGAAGACTCCATTCACTAATTATATATACTATGTCAACAGACCTAAAAAATTCACCATGCCGGCCTTTGCTCAGTTCGACGGCACAGGAGATCCTTCCTATCACCTCGATCACTACTCTCAGAAGATGGCCCTGGATAACCACAACGATGTGTTTATGTGCAAGGCTTTCCTAACTAGTCTGACAAGAGTTGCACTGAAATGGTTCAAGAATAGGCCACACAAGTCCATCCCGAAGTACGAAATTCTGTGCGTCATGTTCCTAGCACAATACTATGGTAATAAGAAGCAAAAAAATACAATCGCTAGTCCCTTCACTATAAGATAGAAGAGAGGAAAAACATTACAGGATTTCCTGTCCAGGTACAACATGGAGGCTTCGAAGACAGCAGATTGTCACCCTAAGACTGCTGTAGAAACATTCAAGATCAATATGATCTAAGGAACTAATTTCCATACCTTTTTAGTCAAATACTCTCCTCCGGACATGCAGACTCTCAATGCTAGGGCATAAATTTACATTCGACATGAGGAGAATGTAGCCCACTGAGCACAACATGCCACCCTTGCCACGGTAGAAAATAAGCTGCGGGAAAAAGCTTTGAGTTTAAAAAGTCAAAGAAACCAATATGCCTTTGCACCAGTTGCCCAAATACCTAAGAAAAGGCAAAAGACTGGGGAGAGGATAACACCTCTCCGTACCACATTGGCTCAATTATTCCAGGTGAACAAAGTAAAATTCACAGTCCCTCAACCAATGCTACAACCCCTAGAGCAGAGGGACAAAAGCAAACAATGTGCCTACTATAGGGATTATGGGCATACAACTAATCAATGCAGATCCCTTTGGCGACAGGTAGAAAACATGATAGCCAGAGGAGACCTAGTAGATTGTCTCTGGCCGAAGGAGTATACAAGGCCTAGGGAAGTTAATCCTTGGAAAGTGGAAGGTAGTCAAGTAAAGCTCATTCATGCAATACATGGAAAATTAGAGGAAGACCAAGAGTCAGAAGAGGTGTACTACTCCAGATTGAGGGTTGTTCATAAGCTAAGGAAGTTGTCCTCATTAAATACCATCACTTTGGGCAGTATTAGTATCGAATTCGGAGAGGAAGATTTATCCAGAATGCAACTTCCCCATGAAGATCCACTCGTTATTAGTCTTCTGGTAGTAAACTGCATGATTAAAAGAGTCTTAGTGGACCCTGGCAGCAGTGCCAATATTATAACAAAGGCAGTCTTTGAGCAGTTAAAAATCCCATCATCATCAATCCGAGCCACTTCTAGTCCTTTGATGGGATTCAGTGGAACAAAAGTAGACCCTGTTGGGGTAATCGATTTATCAGTCACTGCTGCGAAAAGGACATTGAAAGAAAACTTTGTTTTGACAGAAATACATCTTTCTTACAATCTTATTATGGGAAGAGGTTGGATTCACTGAATGAATAGAGTGCCGTCTACTCTATATCAGGTGATGCGATGCTTATCTCCAGATGGAAAAGAAGTCATTAGCCTTTGGGGAGATCAATTTGCTACAAAAGAGTGTTACATGTTGACATTAAAGTAAGCAAAGAAAGGAGTTAAGATATCCAAACCAGATACAGCCCCTGAAGGTGTTGCAAAATAGCAATTACAAAGCCTTCTGCCAAAGTATTCAGAAGCAGAGGTAGAAACAGCAAAACCCATCAAGGAATCTCTTGAAGCTGTGGAAGTTATCCTTGGTAATTCATAGAAATTCACTAATATGGGTTCGTCCCCCTCAGCCGAAGAGAGGGAGGTGTTAATTGATGTCATCCGAAGAAATGCAGATACATTCGCATGGATCCATTCGGACATGCCAGGGATCAACCCTTTGGTATCATGCCATAACCTAAAGGTGGATCCTTCATACAAACCAGTCACACAAAAACGTAGGAGGTTCGCTCTTAAAAGAAATCGAATCATTGCTAAAGAAATAGACAAGTTGTTTCAATCGGGCTTCATCAGGGAAGTGCATTATCCACAGTGGCTTTCGAACGTAGTGGTAGTCTAAAAGAAGAATGGAAAGTGGAGGGTATGTATAGATTTCACCAATCTCAACAAGGCTTCTCCCAAAGATAAATCATATGGTAGATCCTACCACAAGCTATGAGAGACTAACATTCCTCGATGTGTACTTCGGATATAATCAAATTCCCATGAATCCAGAGGATGAAGAAAAAACATCCTTCATCATAGATAAGGGAACTTATTGTTACAAAGTTATGCCCTTCGGACTTAAGAACGCCATGGCAACTTACCAGTGCCTTGTCAACAAAATCTTCGATCAGATATTGGGCAAGGCAGTCGAGGCTTATATCGATAACATGTGGTCAAAAGTGAGAAGAAGGAAGATCACCCCAGGCACCTCTAAGAAGTCTTTGACACTTTAAGAAAGTAAAATATGAGGTTGAGTCTCTCAAAGTGTTCCTTTGCAGTTTCTTCAGGATAATTCATCAGCCATATTGTCAACAAAAGAGGGATAGAGGTAAGCTCGGCTTAGGCCCAGGCCCTAGTACAGAATTAAGAGCCAAAAACTCGAAGAGAAATGCAGATCTTAACTGGCAGAATAGCAGCTCTCATTCACTTCATAACCCGATTGTCTGATAAGTGTAAACCTTTCTTTGATGCTATACACTCGAAGAATAAAGACATATAGGGACCTCAACAGCAGGAAGCTCTTGCTAGACTAAAGTATTAAATGACTAAACCCCCTATTTTATGTGCCTCGAAGCCTGAAGAAGTCCTCACAATGTATTTAGCAATTTTTGACACAACCACAAGTGTAGTTCTGATTTGAGGGGAAGGAGGGAATCAGCATCCAGTCTTCTACACAAGCAAGACAATGATGAATGCCGAAACAAGGTATAACAACGCAGAAAAGATCATACTAGCCCTAGTATATTCAAAGAAAAAGCTTCGGCACTACTTCGAATCTCATCGTATAGTGGTCCTCATAAATTATCCTATGCGAGCCATCCTCTCTAAGCCAGATTTGTCAAGAAGAATTACAAAATGGGCAATCAAGCTTAGTTCTTTTGACATAGCCTATGAGTCGAAGGTGTTACACAAAGGACAAGCGATGGCAGATTTCCTCCTAGAGTATGAAGACAAGCCCGAAGAGCTAGAACTCCCAGAACCACAGTGGGAACTCCATGTTGATGGTTCCTCGAACTTGAATAATGCAGGGGCAGGGATCATCATCATAACTCCAGAAGGAACAAAGTTACAACAATCAATCCATTTGGGTTTTCCCGCCACTAACAATGAGGCCGAATATCAAGCCTTGCTAGCTAGGCTTCGGCTGGCAAGCCAATTCTAGGTAAAGTATCTAAAAGTTTTTAGTGACTTACAACTCATTCTGAATTAAGTAACTGGAAAGTATTAACTAAATGAAGAAAGAATGAGGGCATGGATTCGATCAAATAGAATTTCACTAAGTACCAAGAGAAAAGAATTCTGAAGCAGACAGACTAGCTACAACAGCTTCCTCTTTGGATGAAGATTTAATCTAGGTCATGCCTATTGACACCCTGGAAGAACCTAGTTTAGGACCTCAACTGCAGGTAATGGTAATCCCAAAGATTCTAAGGGAGCCGAGCTGGATGGATTCACTAGAAAGCTATCTTAAAAATAGAATCCTTCAGAATCAAAAGGATGAGGCCAAAAAAGTAAGGTTTACAGTAGCCAAATACTCCATCATTAATAACCGATTATACCAAAAGTCATTCTCAGGCCCGTATTTGAAGTTCTTAACTCCCACGGAGTCACTGGAGGTATTAAAGCAGGTACATGATAGGGATTGCGGCAACCACTCTGGTCGAAGAGCCCTCGCCCATAAAATTTTAACTTAAGGCTATTTCTGTCCATACTTAGCCAAAAACACCGAGGAATATGCTAGGAGGTTCGACAAATGTCAACGTTATGGCCCAATGAAGCATCAACCGGCTGAAGATCTACAAACAATGGCAAATCCATGGCCATTCGGTCACTGGGGAATAGATGTGGTAGGTCATCTACCCAAGACTCTAGAGCAAAAGGAATACGTGTTATTGGCCATGGATTATTTCACAAAATGGGTAGAAGCAAAGGCCAATTCAAGTGTGACTCACAAACAAGTGAAAAGCTTTTTGTGAAATAATATAATCTGCAAATTTGGAGTACCGAAGGTTATCATGATAGACAACAGAAAGAACATGGATAACCGGAGCACAAGGAAGTTCTTTACCGAGCATGGAATCAGACAGAAGTTAGCTGTAGTAAGCCATCCACGGGGGAATGGATAGGCTAAGATAAATAATCGGACCATCTTCGACTGTCTGAAGAAGAAATTGGAAAAACTCATGTCTAAGTGGTACGAGAATCTTCCCAATGTGCTCTGGGCTTATCGAACCACTCCGCAAAGACCGACAGGGGAGAGTCCCTTTACAATGGGTTATGGGTCTGAAGCTGTCATCCCAACAGAATCAGCAATCCCAACTCTTCAGACACACTTGTTACTCGAAGGGAATATTGATCAATAGCTAGAACACAGCCTTAACCTCTTGGAAGAAAAAAGGGATGCTGCGATAGTTCAACTTGCTTCATATCAACAGCAGTTGCGAGATAGTTACAATAAGTGGGTTAGGTTCAGAAGCTTTGTAGTGGGAGATTAAGTGCTAAAGCAAGAGACAACACACGTAAAGAAATTATAACCCAATTGGATTAGACCCTATCGAGTTACAAAAGTAGTTGGGAAAGGCACTTATAGGCTAGCTGAAGCTGATGGGCGAGTGATTGCACGCCCATGGAATGTAATACACCTCAAAAAGTACTACTATTAGAAAATTTCATCAATTTTTCTATGTTCCTTTATACGAATAAGGCTGTTTACGGCCCATATAATAAAATTTCTTATTTACTACATCTTTTTACATCCTCTTTTGTAAATTTATGATGTAATGATGCTTTAAAAGATGGAGAACGTTGGATACATGAGTGATCAATAGTGCCGTGTTTCCAACTATCTTCATTACAATATGAGGTCATTCCCACCCACATAAATATATGGATATTTTTGGTGTTTTATATTCGATGTGGGATATTTATTTCTTAATTCACTAGTTTTTCTTTCGTAATAAGGGGCAAAACTAGTACCCTAAATAGATATTACGAAAGAATAATTTATCTCTTTTAAAACAATAATATGTATAAATGTTGTCACATATTTATCTCTTTTAAAACAAGAATATGTATAAATATTATCTCACATCGATAAAAAAAAAAAAAAAACTTTAAACATTCCTTTATATAAGGAAAAATTAAAGTATGCAAGCATATTGCAAAGTAGGCCTATTGGTAACAAAAGCGGCCGAACACGGATTGTGTTTAAGCCCTAGTACCAGTGGACACTTTTTGCAATAATCATCTCTTTTTTAAGCGCAAAATATTTAGCCCAAAACTTGACTCTTTTTGTATCCCACATCGACTAAAAATAAAAAAAAGTGTATAGTTAATATAACCATGGCTCACCACAGCTAGATGCCACGAAGAGAGTCTCCGTGGAATAGAGTTTGCCAAACAAACGAATAGGAGACTTCCTAGTCACGGTTACTCTTTTTCGTGGCCTCCTACCATTTTTAAATCTTCAGCCTCCAGAGTTCAGAGAATTACTCTAGAGACGCGGCCTCTTCTTAACTAAGGCTTCGGACCCCAAGAGTCCGAAGTTATCAATAATTTCCTCTAAGGCATATCCCATTGCCGAGGAACTTCAAGCTTTGGATCTCGATAATCTGAAGATACTAAACAATTCCTCTAAGGCATATACCATTGCCGAGGAACTGCAAGCCTCAAATCTTAAGAGTTCGAAGGTATTAAATAATTTCCTCTAAGGCAAATCCCATTGCCCAGGAACTTCAAGCTTCATATCTTGATAATCCAAAAATACTAAACAATTCATCTAAGGTATATACCATTGCCGAGGAATTGCAAGCCTTGGATCTTAAGAGTCCGAAGGTATTAAATAATTTCCTCTAAGGCAAACACTATTGCCAAAGAAATCCATGCTTCGGACCCCAAGAGTCCAAAGTTATCAAAATATTCTTCTAAGGCATATACAACTACCGAGGAACTTAAAACTTCAGACCTCAAGAGTCTGAAGATATACAAATGCATCTAAACCCGAATGGGGGCAAATATTATTTATGGATGTCCTACTCTCAGGCCCCAATTCTTGGCCTAACAGTGCTAGGCCCATTAAAAAGTTGTCCCACATCAAAAACAAACAAGAAAAAGGAATGCTATATATGGTTGCATCCCATAATTGTTGACAACCAAGAAAGGTTCTCCCTGATAAATAGATCTTCAAGCGAAATTCTTCAATCAGAGACCAACATATGAAGGGAAACTCTTTCTTGAGCCTATTTTTCAACAAATCCTCGGACC